CATTCGTCAGTGGTGGGGCATCTTGGCTGTTTCCATAACTTGGCTATTGTGAATAGTGCCGCAATAAACATGGTGTGCAGGTGCCTCTGGAGTAACAGTCTTTTGGGTATATCCCCAAGAGTGGTATTGCTGGATCAAATGGTAGATCGATGTCCAGCTTTTTAAGTAGCCTCCAAATTTTTTTCCAGAGTGGTTGTACTAGTCTACATTCCCACCAACAGTGTAAGAGGGTTCCTTTTTCCCCGCATCCTCGCCAACACCTGTTGTTGGTGGTGTTGCTGATGATGGCTGTTCTAACAGGGGTGAGGTGGAATCTTAGTGTGGTTTTAATTTGCATTTCCTTTATTGCTAGAGATGGTGAGCATTTTTTCATGTGTTTTCTGGCCATTTGAATTTCTTCTTTTGAGAAAGTTCTGTTTAGTTCACATGCCCATTTCTTTATTGGTTCATTAGTTTTGGGAGAATTTAGTTTTTTAAGTTCCCTGTATATTCTAGTTATCAGTCCTTTGTCTGATGTATAATTGGCAAATATTTTCTCCCACTCTGTGGGTGTTCTCTTCAGTTTAGAGACCATTTCTTTTGATGAACAGAAGCTTTTTAGCTTTATGAGGTCCCATTTATCTATGCTATCTCTTAGTTGCTGTGCTGCTGGGGTTTCATTGAGAAAGTTCTTACCTATACCTACTAACTCCAGAGTATTTCCTACTCTTTCTTGTATCAACTTAAGAGTTTGGGGTCTGATATTAAGATCCTTGATCCATTTTGAGTTAATCTTGGTATAGGGTGATATACATGGATCTAGTTTCAGTTTTTTGCAGACTGCTAACCAGTTTTCCCAGCAGTTTTTGTTGAAGAGGCTGCTATTTCTCCATCGTATATTTTTAGCTCCTTTGTCAAAGATAAGTTGCTTATAGTTGTGTGGCTTCATATCTGGATCCTCTATTCTGTTCCACTGGTCTTCATGTCTGTTTTTGTGCCAGTACCATGCTGTTTTTATTGTTATTGCTTTGTAATATAGTTTGAAGTCAGGTATTGTAATACCTCCTGCATTGTTCTTTTGACTGAGTATTGCCTTGGCTATTCGTGGCCTCTTGTTTTTCCATATAAATTTAACAGTAGATTTTTCAATCTTTTTGATGAATGTCATTGGAATTTTGATGGGAATATTCTAGTTTTTATTTGCTCATTTAAAGTTGAATTTGCAAAGGTGAAACCAGCCAAACAAATTGTCTTGACCCCAGCTGAAGGGCTGCTGTGAGCAGATGTTTGTATGCACCTAGGTGTGGGTTAGTGTTCAGTGACAACTGAAATTGAAAACCCTTGGGCATCCTGATGCAGGGTATCTCCAGGGCTGTCCGCTGGCCATTGCTGATAAAATGTAAACCCTTTTAGATGGTCTTTTGAGGAGATATAAACATTCTGTTCTTGGGATACAGTTCTGTTCATTGGTTCAACAAATAAAAAGAAACCTTTCTTTAGATAGGCTGGCAGTTGAATCAGCACTGGGTTTTGGTGGCATTTCTGCTGGACTTGGGTTTGGGGAAGGTGCCTGAAAGTCTTGCCTAGTGCAGCTCCAGGCCACCCTCCCCAGACCACAGGATTTTGGCAGGGAGTCTGCTCTGTTCTGCATGCTGGTCTTCTCCCCTGTGTGCATCCTTTTCCATGTTCTTTTGTACAGACCTGCCCAAGTGTCTTGCATCATAGAAAGCAGAACATCTCTGGGTGAGTGTCCTGTCACTGTTGCACACTACCACACACTGAGTGGCCTAGAACAGCACAGACCTATCCTCCTACAGTTCCAGCTCAGAGTCCTACAGTAGACATACTAGTCTGCTCCATTGTTTCTAGAGACCCCAGGGAGAATCTGCTTCCTTCCTTCATAGCTTCGAGAAACGCCTGCATTCCCTGGCCTGTGGCCTCATGTCAGTCTTACTGTTGTGTCCACACCCAGATGACCTCCTTGCATCATGCATTTATAGGCCTAGTGGCTATGGTAAGGTCATGTGGTCACAGGTTGCAGAGATTAGGGGCTGGACACCCACCATAATACACCCCCCATTCAGTGTCTCTACCCAGTGCCCTTCTACACACACTCATACACATAGGCATGTACATGTCTGCACTCACACAAAGATGCCCTTGCCTGGTTAAATGCTTCTTTTTGTGAATAAGTAGCCAGCTAGTGTACACTTCTTGGCCACTCTCTGACTTGAGGCCCTGTGTGTTGCCTGCTGTGATCATGGCCCCTTCCCCACCCCATCCTTTCTCAGCCCCATTCCAGACCTGCTCATCCAAGACACAGTGACATCTTCTCTGCTTAGTGTCCCTGATGTTCTTTAAAATCTGGACAGTGCCACCTCTCTTAGTACCTGGCAGTGGCTTCACAGCCTTATCTCCAGCTGGACACCCAGTTCTTGGTCATCTGTGGAGGCAGACCTAGAGCCCACCTCCCTGGGAAGACCACCTCTCTCCTGTCACCTTCGAGAAGAAACAGGTGTTGGTGTCAGTCATTACTCCCTTGGCCAGAGTAGACCTGTGGCTCTTCTGGCTCAACTTTACACCAACACTGTTGCCAGAACCAGAGCCCACAGTTCTCCTTCCTGCCCACCTCTTGTCTCCTCCAGTCCCAGAAGCAACACTTAGTCTTTCTGACCCCATACCTCCCACTACTTCCTGTCACATCCTTGTTCTCTGCCAGGTGTTTGTTCCCTGTCACAATCCCAGTCATATCCTGCTGGGCTGCCTCAGTCTGACTAGTTGATTTTGTCAGCTTGATTGGATTGAAAAGCAACTAGAAGATTAGTAAAGCACAGCTCTGTAAGTATCAACGAGGAGTTTCCAGAGAGGGTTAGACAATGGGGGCTGTGACTTCATGAATGGTCTAATTCCTTGATGGATTCTAGATATGATGTCATTACTGGGAGGTGGTAAAAGATAGGAGGTGGGAGGAAGTAAGTCACAGGGGGTGTGTCCTTGGCCTGGCTCCTTCCTATGTGTATCTTTCTCTGTTTCATGAATTAAGAGGTCTCTGCAATGTACTCCTGCCACCATGATGTTCCGCTTAAGTGCATGGGGCCAAAATAAATCCCTCCTCCCTTAAGTTGTTTTTGTAAAGTATTTGGCCACAGCGACAAAAAAGCAATACACCAGGTAAATGACGTCCACCTCCTTACTGGTCTCTTCCCAAGATGACCAACTCCTAGATAAGCTAGACTTTTTCCTTTTATGTCCCAAATGATGCCTGGCACTTACGTCATTCACACCATGCTCCAGGCCAGAGGCAGAGTCAGCCTGCACCACCTGCCTCTCCCATTCCCAGTATAAGTCAGCCACTTCCAGTCTCCAGACAGCGTGAGTTACAACTCCCTCAAGTGCCGCATACTGGAAAAGGTGGAGGAGATCCAGGCCTCAGGGATCATCGGAGCTCAGTGTGCCTTCTTCATCTCTGAGATGTTTGGTCTTGGACACAGTGTCCGTGCTGCTGTACTCACATGACATGGACTTGAGGGTCTGTGCTCTGTCCCTGTGTGGCCACTGTGGGAAGGCTGAGACAGTGTGTGTCAGAGGCCTGTGCTAGAGGCAGCCTCAGCTAGCAGTATAGCTAGCTACCAAATGCCTTTTGCTGGCTAAAGAAAAAGGTTTTAGTACCGATGCTTACAAACAGAATTTGGAAGCTGTGTATATACGTATGTGTATTGCATAGCATGTACAAATTTACTGTTTGTCCATATTGATTGAAATATGAGAAAAATCTCATTGTTTTGTTCCCACTACTATAATTTTTTTTGGCAGTGCTGGGGTTTGAACTCGGGGCTTTGCACTTACTAGCAGGCTCTGTACTACTTGAGCCACACTTCCAGTCCTTTTTGCTCTGGTTATTTTGGAGGCAGGGTCTTACTTTTTGCCTGGACCATAGTTCTCCTATTTTATGCTTCTTACTGTATCTGGAATGACAGATGCACGCCCCCACCTCCGTGCCCACCTTTTGTCCATTGAACTTTTACCCCTGGGCTGGCATGGAACCACAGTCCTCCCCTTCTCTGCCTCCCAAGTAGCTAGGATTACAAGTGCAAGCCACTGTTTCTGGCTCCCACTAATGTAACTTGATGAAAGAAACTGCTTGAGTGCCCTGTAGCCACATAACAATCTTCCATCTGCATTTAAGCTTCTGGTCTGCTGCTCCCTGTGAGACCTCCACCGGGGCAGGCACTTTCTGCTATGCCCTTCCTAGCCAGTGGCCAGCCTGCCATCGTATCTTCACACACAATCATCTTCTTACAGAAGGGCACTGTCGTGGCTGCATGGAGCATCCTGCTGTTGCATCTTAGACCCCTATCTTGCCCTTTGCCCCATTTTGTGCCTGGGGGCTTCCCTGCGGGCTGCTATACCTGGCTGGTAGAGCCAGCCAGAGGTATTGGCAGGGGTTGATGCCAGTTGATGGAGGGAAAAGGCTGAGATCTTTGTTCTCACAGCTCCATTCCCACCAAGCAACAGCGCCTATTAGCTCCCTCCTACAGCTTTGACTTCTGACTTTAATAGCTATTTCTTGCCTTGGCCCCTTCAGGTCTTGCCATTCAGCACTACCCACTGGCATACTCACTGTACTGACCTCCCTAGCCCTGCCCATGTGTCCCCCCAGCTTCTTGTTAAACTCTCTCTTTTCCCTAGTGTTCTTTCTAGCCAGGACACTGGCAGCCAGTGACCTCTTCACCCACGATTCCCTACTGGTGTTTCAGAGCATACCTGACATCTCCAGTCACAGTGCTCAAAGCATGAGAGTGATCCGTCTCCCACCTCCAGTTCTCCCCCAGTGTCACCCCTGCATCCTGTGCCTTCCCTTCACGTGTGTGTCACCCTCCTGTCCTCAGTGAGAACACACAGGCCAGGGAACCCTCAAGGAGCAGAGGCTCGCTTGGGTGTTGCATGACAGGTGGATTAAAGATGGGGTGGGCGAGGCAGGGAAAGCCTTCCTTCACAATGCAATGCATTTCTCCCTGCAGCTGCCGGGACGTAAGTACCGCCCTGGGTACAATGCTGATGTGGGTGACAAGTGGATCTGGCTGAAGTGAATGGTGTCCTCCACTCAGGCTGTGACACAGTGATGAAGACGTCTCTGATCTACCTGACTCAAGGGCTCCATGGAGATCTACAGTTATGAGGGAAAAAAAGAAAACCCAAATGTTCAGGAAATTGCATAGTAGAAGTGGCCTAGAAAAAGCAGTCTACCCTGTGTGTCGTTAATGGATTTGAAAGAATCAACTCAATTTTAAAAGTTTTGGAACTTTGGAACTTTACTTTAGAATCATCCATAATTATCACAGGAAAGGAAAAAAAGAAACAGGTCTGCTAATAAAAGACTGGACTTACTAGAAGTATGTCATCTTACCACAGTGGCTGTGTCACACGGCTTTTAGTGCTGTTCTCCCAACTTCAAGAAATAAAGCCAACTCTGTGCAACTCCTCTCTTGCATCTGCACCTGTTGTCCCCTCTTTCATGCCACCATGCTCAGCCACTGTGTCCCCCTTTATCCCAGCTGATGCATTTTGTTTAATTCAGATGTATCATATTGAATAGTTTTTCTCTCTGTTTTAGCAATGTACATTGGCAAAAAGAAAAAAAAAGTAAAAGTTACAAAAAGAGGAGGAAATCACCATAGGCTTATGGAACAATGTATTCTAGAAGGAAGGTTAGAAAAGGTCACACTGACATCCTCAGTGGGTTTCCGACTCCTTCTGAAAGGAGAGCTGAGCTGGGAAGGAAGGAGGGGGAGAGAGCGTGCATGGGGGAGGGGAGCATTGTGTCAGTGAGTGAGATAAAACTCAAAGGAAAGTAAATTCTGTTGCCCCGAAGGCAAGTTGCCAATCAGAAATGAGTAATGAGAAGGAACACATCTTGTTAATCACCTCTGTTGAAACTTAGAAATAAAATTTGTGAAAGCGAGTTGCAGTTCAGCATTTTTATCCCAGACTTAGGCTATAAGTCATGAGCCCATTAAATTGTGAGTTTTCCACTGTGGAGCTCCGCTGTGTCCATTGCCATAGCTTCTAGCCACATGTGGCAGTTTCCATTAATTAAAATTTAATGCAGGTCAAGAGCTCCATGGCCACATGGCCTGGGACCTGTGTTACACAGAGCAAAAGAGAACATTGTCATCGTGGCGGAAAGTCATTTGGCCTCCCTGCTGAGGAGCAGGTGGAAGGATGCACACATGCACGCCCTCTCCTCCTTCCTTAGAAGGTGAAAATAACGCTTCCCAGCAGCTTTTGCACTGAGATCCAGCTTTAGTGGCAGCTGCTCCAGACATGAAATGAAAGTGCGGCTAGGCATTGGGCCAGTCTTAGAGTGTTTTGGTCTGAGTGCCTCATGAACCCATTAGGAAGTGGAGGAGAGAGAGAAAGCATTCTCTTGGATGTTCCCACTGTCAACTGTAAGGTGCTGGCTGAGTACAAAAGCCTTCATGGTGGGCAGGAAGTGGTCTCAGCAATCCGACAAGGGTCTGCCACGTGGTCAAGACTGCTCCGAGGAGGCCTGTCTGTGCAGGTGCAGACGGGTCCACTGAGAGCTCCCGAGCATTCGTGTCTGATGCTGTGTGGTTCCGTTCTCGTTGCAGTGTGACGCTTACGATTTGTGGTACTGAGGAAGTCCATCTGCTTTGATTCCTGGTGTTTTCTATGCATGCTGAGCCAAGAAAGGCGAGTAGGCATTCCAAGTCTTTTTTCCAAATGCAAACTCTAGAACGGAGACTAGTGGGGCCCTAATCTCCTCATTTCACACAGTACGTGATTTAGTTAGAGAAAAATGCTTACAACCCTTCAAAACAGCCCAGGGCTGAAATGAAATGGTCCACTTTGGACATTCTGTGTTGGAATGCTCAGTACTTTGAAGATGAGGAGCTAGGCACATTGTTGCAACAGTGTATCTGCCTTTTGTATTGAAGAGAAAGTACTCATTTTTTTCCCTAAAATATCTGTTCTGTCAAATTTTGTAACCAAAAGAATGGTTAAGAACATTGGGTTTCTTAGAAGAAATCATGGTTTCTCCTCTCTACTCCCATAAAACAGGGCTTGGCCTGGTGGGCAATGGCAGGTTCCCAAGCACCACATTAGGCTTGTGCTGACTCCAGTCTGCTTGCAGCCATCGAGCTGTGGTGAGTTGAGCAGCTGCCTCGCCTGACTGGATATGTGGTCAGCAAGAAAAGCAGGTGAAGAGGTGACCGTCTTCAGAGTGCAGGGCCACCAGGTAGACCCAAGAGCCTGCAGCTGTGTTGTGCTGCAGTTTAGGTGTTGGATTCCGCAATGCAACAAATGAAAAAAAGCTCCTCTTACTTCACAGTTGTCCTTTTTTTCCAAAGCCCTAGCTACTAATGGCTTGGGATCTTTCTGTGTCCTGTTTACCAGAAAGGGACTTGTGGATTGGCTATGCTTAGCAGTGCCCAGGTCAGAGCCAGGACGCAAGCTGGCAGCTGCTCTCCGCTGAGACAGCAAGGAATCTGCTGAGCAGATCTGCAAGGCGGGTTCAGCAGAGGATGTCAGTTACCACTGTGCATTGGACTTGTAGAAGAAAAGTGTGTAGCAATAGCTGCTGGCCAGTCAGAATTGGGTGAACGAAAGTGTGCGGCCAGTAATTTGGGGTTTTACATCTGGATCTAAGCAAAGCTGGACACCTGCAGCTTTGTTGTAGGAAAATCACCTGGGAGGAAGCAGAGGCTGCTGCTCCCTGCTGAGTTTTGCAGCACAGGGTGTACAACTCACAGCCCTCCATAAAGTATGGAAACCCAGTCCTTATCCCAGACCGTGAGTGGGTAGGCAGCACACCAGCACAGTTCTAGAATCATCTTTCCTGTGAGTTGGTTGGTCCTTGTGCCCACGATGGCTTGTTTCCCTCCTGGTTTGGCCTGTGTGTGCTATGCTGCTCCTAGGTGCTGGCCCCGGCCTTCTCTGCTGGCGTGCTTATTTCCTGCAGTGCTGAATGTGCAGAGCCTCCCATGGTCTCCATCTAGACTCCTTCCATCCCTCCCACCTTTGGTCTCTTAGGCAGAAACCCAGAGTACCCGGTGTCCACAGTGGGGCCACGTGGACATCCACAACCAGAATCCGTTGTCCATTTTGACCCTGATGGTCGCCTCCCTCTCCATGATCCTGTTTTCTGTGTCAGTTTCTCTCCCCTTTCCCCCAACTCTCCTCCTGTGCTAGAAGTTGTCCTGAGGCCCCAGTAGGCCTCACATCAAGTCAGCCCGTGACTGCAGTCCAGACAGCCTTCGCCTCTTGTGCTACACCGCACTCCGCCCCACCTGGACTTTTCAAGAAGCCACCTTAGAAAGACAGGTAGGGTCTGGACTGCAAGGAGCTGATCAGCTGGTCTCTCCATCAACTCAGCATATCTGATGGGTCAGGTCCAAACTCAACAGTGAACACTGGCGTTAGCCAAGGGGCATGATTTTCTGGTACTATTTCTAGAAGCATCTCTGCCATCCTGAAATCTGAAACACCTGCACGGGTTCTCAGGCCTCGAGCACCTGATACTGTGATGGTCCTACCGCCCACTTCTGGCCACCATGCAGATCTTGCCCCAGTCCCACCCTCTTGAGGTTGCCTAGATACTGTTTGGGGCAGGTTTGCAAATACGCTGTCTGTGATATGGTATCCTTCACACAGACCTCTCATTAGTAGATGAATGTAATAAAATCTTTTCTGTTGAAGTAAAATGCAAGAATTTGACATTCACCAGGCAAAGCCCAAGTGAAAATGAATCTCTCCTATGGAGAGAAAAACCATCTCGTTGAGAGGAATCTGGGTGCAGAGTGTGTGGCTGCTGCCCAGAAACCCCCAGTGCACAGGCAGAGTGAAGCTTGGCCCATCAGTAGGAGGGGGAGCGTGGTGGAGCAGGCAGCCTGCACCCCCAGGACTCATTCCCAAAGATGTGCTGCTGATGTCAGTAAGGAGCCCAAAACTACCTACCACCAGGATAGCACAAGCAGGAGTGTAGATGGCTGTGGGCTAGCTCTGTCCAGCTGCTCCCAGTGAGCACAAAAAACCCAATGGCAGTTTTTCCCTGATCAGAAGTGACTGCGAAGACCCTGGACCTTTGGGTTAACTACAAAGCAGCCCTATTCTTTCTTCTCTGACAAGGTGGTGTGATTGTTCACATAATGGGAAACACATCCTCGGCTGTGGAAAGGAGAGCTACAGCTCAGGGTATGTGAGGTTATCCTGCCTTCTTCAAGGCAAGCTTTTCTCTGGAAGCCAGCAGTAAGAAACTCCCAGGTTGCCTGAGCGTGGCTACAAGGAGCAAGACGGCCACAGGCCACTGTCTGTGGAGTTCCTGATCTGCCATAATCCTCACACTGATGTCTGCATCTCTTCTGAGGGTCTGCACTTCTGCCCCTGACCCACAACCCCAATCTTCATAGCCCTTTACATTCTGGACTCTACCCTGCAGGCCCCACCACATCCCCTTCCTCTGCCTGGGTCCATGGTTCCCAGCCCCAGACCATCACATGATTTTTCCTTCACAGACCTTGTCAAATCCCATTGTGTTGAGCAACCCTCATCCCAGAAATGCCCTGGTCCTCTGACCTCAGCCTCTGTCTGGGATGCACCAGTGTGTGGTCACCTATCTCCTATAGAACCACTCCTGAACCAGCTTTTTGCAGGATGGTCCTTAAAGGGTAACGGTCACCATCTTCTGATCGGCCAGCTCAAGGTAAGAAAACTTTCTCCAGCTGCCGTGTGGCCAACCCTCCATAAGGATGCTTGGCCCAGGGAGGCCTCCTGACCTTGCTGAGTGGTCACAGTCCTGATCAGGCATTGGGAGCCCGTGCATAGCCCACAGGCCAGCCATAGTGAGGAATTCTGCCAAAAGGCCTGGCATCTTCAGCTACAGCCAGAGCAAGGATCTCAGCTGGCTCTGGGTCTCAGTGACCAGCCAGATGTGGTTTCCATCTCCACTCAGCAGCAGGTGACCTTGGAAAAACTGCTGACCTGTTAGCTTGTGTTTCTGTGGCCACAAAGGACTAACAGCAGCACCATTTGGGGTTTTGTGAGAATTGTGTAGCCCACCTTGTCAGAGGAGAAAGAATAGGGCTGCTTTGTAGTTAACCCAAAGGTCCAGGGTCTTCGCAGTCACTTCTGACCAGGGACCAGCTGGTGCCTGACATTGACCTGACGCATGTGTGTTGTCCTCACTGCCCTTACCAGACCTTCTTGGGAATGAGGCCCGATGCCAGGGCAACACAAGCCTGGGTGTGTGTAAGGTACAGAGAAAGGGAGGGTCATGTCTCCCACACAGAGTGGCTCAGGCAGCATCATGGTGAAATAAACTCTGAGCCAGGGCTCTCTACCAAGCTGTGGGGACCACTTCCCTCCAAAGTTCACACGGCCCAAGGCTTTTGGGGGCAGGAGCAGGCAGCTGTTGGGCCCCCAGAACTATAGCCCTGGGCTCCTGAGCAGGCAGTGGCCCACTGGGATGATGGAACCAAGCACCTGAAGGTTGCGGGCTTCCCTAGCACTCTTTGAGAGCTTGATTTCACGTCCTTGGGGGACCTGTCCGTTTTGTTGGCTTGTGAATCATTTTTCTTTTTTGGTGCAGACTTCGAGTTACCATGAAGAAAAACACTTCCAGACAGCTGTGTTTGGAAAGTTCACCTTCTTAACTTGTGCAGGACCACACAGGATTAATACGAAAGAGAAAACCCATTTCCCAAGGACTCAGACAGATGGCTAACAGCACTAGGGGGGAAGGAGGAGCAAGGCTGGTAAGGGGCTTGTCCAGAGGTCAGTGATGGGGCTGCCAGCATCAGGGATATGGGCTAGTGGGCAGTCAGAGGCCAGGCTCAGTCAACCCTGACCCCTGTAGCCATTGGGGTCTCAGGGGTGGATGGAGAGCCCCTGGGCGCCTGCAATGTCTCCATGGCTCTGTCCAGGCTGCTGACCCTGGACAGCTCACACTCACCACCAAGGTTTCATAGCCCACCTTTGAGGCTAGACAGCTCCAGTTCTCTGTCCAATTTCCTCTGTGAAAATGAAGGAGGGACGG